GAAGAAGATAGCAGAGATGAGTTGTGCAGAGGTGGCTATAAGGTCTATGGTCAGTCCTTGAAGATAATGGGAAAGCTATGAAAGCATTCTTCATAGTGAAACTTTCACTGATGGTAACTCACCAAAGGATTTCCGCTTGATTCAAGATTTGCTTTGGGCATTTGGTCCCAGTCTCAAAACCCCATCTCAACCAGAAAAATATCTTTTGGTTCATATAAAATGCAAATTAGGTATAAGAAAACAGGGTAGATCATCTTAACACGAAAGAAATCCTTTAGAGCTGAATCCCACTGACCTGAGTTCCACTAAAAGACAGACTCTCAAACCAATTTTCAACAGGGCAACTTCGGACAGCAAACGGAAAGCCACAGAAACTAATTTGCTAAGAAATCTTGGCCCACCCTTCCACTCATTTTTTTCAAATTCTTTCCAGGTCAAAGATAAGGAAGGGTGCTAAATATCTTCAGTATCTTTAATAGCTTTGGCCAGGTTAAATTCACTCCACTGTGCTCAAAAAAAGCAAGAAAAAAATAGTTTGTGCAGAGGGGTCTAATACTGCTAGTTATGTTTGACAGAATTTTTTCCACATTAAAAAATGTTTCTGTAGAAAAAAGTGTGGTATTTTGCCACATCAAAATTTCCACAACAGCAAAACCCTCACCAATTTAAAATAATGATTATGTTTTTTTTTTTTTTTTCTAACAGTCACCATAAGAAACTGTTTCCAGAAAAAAATAGCTTTGGAGAAGCCTCAAAGTTTTGTTAAACAGCAAATTGCTATAAATTTTTCATTAAAAATATTATTAATAACTTCATAAGAAATCCAAGGAGAAAAAAAAAAAAAGAGAGAGAGAGGTTCCTTTTAAATCCAGCCGTACAGTACAATAAAAGGCAATGTTTGCAAAGCTCTTTTCCTTGTATTCAATGACTCCTATGGGTAATTTTGGGCCATGGACTGGCCTTTATAGCAGAACCTAATTCATACAAGTAGAACAAGTATTCAGCTGAAAGGAAGAGAAGATAAAACCAGTAATTTTTCAGGTAATTGACGCCCACTGAAGGACATAGGCCCTGTCATCTAAAGGCTAGCGTTATCCTGATTTAGGCTATCTATGTCACCATGCAACCCTTCATTTTTCTCCCTCACTTCAGTATAACACCTTCCTCTTGTAGGTGCGAGAAGATGCTATAGATATTTCAGACTCACACAATCTCTTCCCAATCCTTGTACTTTGGCAAAGTTAAAATCACCAGACTTGACAGCTCCTGGGAAGATTTCTCCCGCAACTTTTCTTTAAGTTGGCTCTTAATAAGGCAGCTGCCCATAGGTCTCAGGTTGACTCTTTATTCCCTGCTGTTACGTAATCTCTGTGATGGTAACCCTGAGCAATTATGAATGAAATACCCTGGGGCACTAATAATTTGTTAGTTGAGGGTATTTTGAATGTGTTGTACTCCCTGTTGATTGTTAATTTCATTACTGCTGCTTACTTAATATAGAGACTAAAAAGTTGCATGGAGACTTCTCAATCTTGACTAGGGCTATCATCCCAATTAAATTCCTCAACCCAGAATAGAACCTGCAGGAAAATGTTAGCTGTGATACTGCTAGAATATTATAGTTATACTGATATAATAATCTGACTCCAATCTATCTGGGCTCACAACCACAGAGGCGCGTAGGCCCTTAATCTCCTTGAAATCCCTTGGAGATCAGCACCTAGATACCTTTGTAGCTCTGTACCACAGAGCAGGGACCTGGACATTCAGTTAAACACATCTCAGTTCATGCTATTTGTAATCTGGATGATGCGTAAGAGGCCACCAAAACAAACAGAAGTCCACATCTTCATGCAACGGACCAGCAAGCTCTGAATTCAGCTGATTGCAGGAGGCAGGGAACGAAAAATACAGCGAGAACGCAGATGACAAGGTCATAACGCTATCTCCAAAGGGAAAAACAAGCAGAGAACCCTAGATGACATCCATTATTTCCAGGAGTCATTTGCTCAGACAACAAAATTTCAGCAAGTCACTGAAGTCATATATGGCATAACTGTACCCAAAGTTCAGGTTCAAGCTCAAGTTTGTGAGCACAGCATCAAAGCTCAGATTGTTCTGCTGATTCCAGCTAAAGCACAGGAAGAACCAGTGCCTTAGGGATTACGGGTGGGATTCGTCTCACCTAACTTTATCTGTCTGGTCAAAAGTGGCCTCCCTCTGAGAGACATGCACCAATGGGTTGGAAGGTGAGCCAATCCCACATTAAACACTTATCTCAAAGCTTTGATAGGTCAAGCTAGAAGGGCTGGTTGCTTTCCACTAATGACAGAGTCCCTAAATGACTAGCTTGGGTTAAGTACCCAATTTTTAGCAACTAAATTTAGATGAGATGGATTTTTCACTTTCCCCCATTACAATGAATCAGGAAAGCACTGGAAAGTACCGAACAGAAAATAAACGGCAAGGACTCAGAGCTGGCAGGCAGCACTAGCCACACAAACTTTCAGTTGCTCAGAAGAGTCAAATGCCTCCTTATGGGATATAAATGAAACCTTCAATAAATGCTAAGATCTTCATGGCAGTAGTTCTGAACAAACGTATGATCCAAACCTCTGTGCAGGTTGCACTGTCCCCTACTACCTCCCTCCTGCCCATGGAGTGAGCTCACAAAACAAGACAAGAACAACTTTTTCAGTCACTGCACCCTGAGTTACTTTCTCTGTGTTGGAGCTAACAGCGCCAAGTACTCTGGACAAAATGGAAAAGCACACCAAGTGGACAAAGCCACATGCTACGACCAAGTGTGACAAAACCGTGGCGAAACACAAAGTCTTCTCATCCCTGGCCCAGAGCAGAATTTCAAGTTTCAGGGCAGCCCTATAGGGACTGTAATAAAGGCCTTGCTAGTCATTTGCACAGATGGCTCTTCATCCACTTCTTCACAAAGAATGGAAAACAATCTTATCAGGAGCTTTACAGATGTTGAGTACAGCAATAGTAAACATTTACTGATGACCTGGAGATTTTGCAGAAAATGGAAAACTCTGTTCTTTGTCCTTGTCTACAGGGGCAGGGCTTTGCGATGCACCTCACTCAGTATTTCACTGCCCAGTCACTCATTACCATTAGATCTTTCTGTAAGTTCTTGAGAGCTTTCATTTCACCATCCTTAACAATTCTGTACGGTCACTGAACTTGTCGCCCTGCTATTCACTACTCTTCTGGCCAACTAATGAACGTGTTGAACAGCACAGATTTTTGTGAAAATCTCCCCGGTTCTCTCCCTTGCCATCGTGAGGAGCTGATTGTTCCTACCCTTTCTCGTCTAGCTTTTAAACATTACCTAGTTCATGGACCTTCCTTCCCATCCCACCACGATGTCTTTTCTTTAAAAAGTCTTCAGGGAAGGACTTTGTCAAAAGTTTTTTTGAAAAACTGGAACTAATCATTTTCACTTCTGTGATTAGTCATTTCTTCCGACAATGCTAATAGATTTGAAAGGCTGGGCTCTGTGACAAAAGTTGTATTTCTCTTCCCCCCGCCCCACCATCAGATCATTTTTGCCCATAGATCTACTTTCTTCTTTAGTACAGTTTTCCCCCTGTTTCCCTTACAGAAGTCAGTTATTTATTTGTTGCTCCCTGTACATCCCTTGGAACCTTTTTTTTGAAAATATCTTCACATTTGCCGTCTTCTGAGGTAAAGCGACAGACCACGTACCTCAGAAAGTTTGGCCATTTCATAATTTGAAATCCTTAAGAACTCTTGTGTAAATACTGTACGCTGCTAAACAACAGACTACGTTTTAAGTTTTGTCCATTTTAAAACCTCCTCTGACAAAACTGAGCTCTGATTCGCCCCCATAAAATAAAAAAAAGCATCATAAGGAAACCTACCTAGAATCTTGCATAGTGAACACAAATTCGCATAACTTGTCTGCTACGGCCTTATCTTCCTTGTTCCTTTTGCAGGATCTTCCAAGTTGTCAAATGCTATTCTGGGTCTCGCTCCTTTAGCTCACCTCAATTCTCACCCATAGTCTTCAGAACAGATACCAGCTTTCTCCATTATAGAAAAAAAACCACCACCTTGTGCCAGGTAATCACCTCCAGAACATACAAGTTTCATGATTTCTCTTTTTAAATAGGCAAGATCTGTCTATGTTTAGTACTGGCTTAGTGCTAAGCATTTGATAAACAAGAGTTTGGTAGTTAAATCCTTGAAAACATGGAACAGAGAGAATAACAGAAACAGAATAAACAGGGGAGCCAGCCCTCATGCTGATACAGGAAAACACTTTGAATACAGCAGAGGATTGCCTATATGTGTGTCTGGATGTCAGGAAACTATCATCACCCTAAATGCTAACTATGCTTTCTACCATGATCCAGAAGTTATTGCAGCTACTGCCCACTTTTAACAAACCTCCAGATTTCCCCATTACTGAAAGCTTCCATTGTCTATATTTTGGTTTTCCTGGGATGATTGGACAAGCTGTGTCAGCAGCACTAAAGAAGAAAGAACGGAGGGTTTGCTTGCACTTCTTAGAAGAAGATAGTAAAAATAAGCATTCAAAAGTTTAGGAAAATTTGTGCTCCACAGCTCATGGAAGAGTTTTCGGGTTTTTTGTTTATTTGCTTTTAATTGTTTTATTTAGCTGTTTGTATGTTGCTGAGTTAAGAACACGTATACTAATTGCCAGATCGGATCAGACCAGAGAGTCTTCTTGCCCAGTCTCCCACCTCGGACCCGACAGCAGAGAGAAGGATTACAAGAATCTTTCCAGTAGATTTACCTACCAGGCAGAAAGAAGGGGGTTGATAACAACCAGCCACTAGTGAAAACTACGGCCCTGGTCTCCTCTGTTTCTTCTGAGCGGCGGTGGGAATCCCACTGATGAAGGCAATTTGCTGTTTTTGGAACTGTGCCTCAGCAGGTCACGAAGCTGTTTCAAAATCGGTCATTGAACTAGATCAAGCCCATGAGCTATGGCTTACCTTAGGGAGTCTATACTTTTCTCTCAGATGAACCCTCAGACAGGCTCTCTCTGCCTTCTTCTGTGCAAATGCTGCATCTCTTTCCATCCTAGAAATCAGAAAAAAAGGTTCCTCAGGATACCAACAAAATACCGTCTTTTACACTGAACCAGTCTCTCAGCTGTGGAAAGCTACACACAGACGTTATTCCCAAAGTTATATAACTTGTCCAAAGGCACAAAAGGAGTTACTGTTAAAGTGATATCAGAGGTGCAAGACTTCCTGAATCACAAGCTTGATCTCAGAGCAGTTCCCATGAGTCCTGTGAAGAATAAAGGATAAGCTAGCACTGCTTGTCTAGATGCTGTACTGATGCTAGCTCTTATTACTCACTGTAACAATGAACAATTCCAATAAACGTAAACAGCACAGAAAAGTTAAGTTTGTTCCTTGCTTATTCCACCACGGGCACTCACAGAAACGGGGCTGCCTGCCAGTGTTCCCGTCCTACAAACGTAACGTGCTTCACGGCAAATAAAAACACAGCACAATGTCAGAAGGGTCTTTCTGAGTCTAGGTCTTTTTGGTCTTTCTGACCAAAAAGTTCACTCACCCTGCAGTCATCTCCGACAGCAGACAGTAACGGACACTTAGAGAAGGAATTTAGAATAGGATAAGTATGCTGTACCATAGCTGCCCAGCTTCCAAAAGTCTATGTTTTAGGGACAAACCAGGGACTAGTCCCTACATGAGTAGGGACTACTTGAGCTGGAAATTGGCTCTACTTCATTGTCTTTAATAGCCCTAGATGGCCTCTGTCATCTATGACTTTGTCTAGTCTCTTTTTGAATCCATTTATTCTTCTAAAATAACCTGTGGAAATGAGATCCACAGCTTCAGTTTGTGGAGAAGTACTTATTCATGATTTTATAAAACGCTTTTGTTAAATTTAAGAACTCTTCAACATAATTATTGATTCAATTACTCATTTATTTATTTGCAAGTTGCGTATCTGCAGATCTTCTTGGTAACACTGGATGAACATTCACTTTTTACTCTCTTTTGCTCAGAAGAAGTTTCATGGAAAGCTTCAGGCAAATTTGGTTTTGTTCCAATATATGTATTTTGTCATATCAAAACTACCTGCAAGATGAAAAATTATTTTTCCTCTGCTTCCACAAATTAATCTTTGGGTATTTCACCCCTCTCTTTTTTTATTCTATTATAATTAAAAATAAATTACAATAAAAACAGGATCATTTCAGCTGGAAGCCATCTTAAACGCTGTGGAAGCGAGCTTCTTTCAAACAGTCATTGCCGGGAAGATTGGAAAGAGATTTTTCTCCCCTTCTGGCACGTTTTGGCCCTCGTTCTCCACCTTCCTCTCCACCACCTCCGGAGGAGCAGGTAGCAGTCCCAACTGGCAACGGAACACGTTCACGCAGGCTGGTGCCCTCAGCGGTACTACAGATGCCTTCAGGCGTCCTGCAGGACTGGGAGACAGCAGAGGATTTTCCTCCTCAAGCAGACTGAGCCGCTCACTTGTCCTGGCGTCACGGGCAAACTCAGCAGATCTCACTCTGCCAGCGCCCTGCCTTTGCCCGGGCCCTGCGGTCTTGCCGACTCCTCCGCTTTGGTGTTTTGGAGGACTTAATCATTGCCCGGATCACGAAACTTTGCGGGAAGGGGAAAGAGATCCAAGGGAGTTTCACGGCAGGCGAGAGCCGGCGATGCACCGCACAGACCGGCGGTCCCCTCCGGCTTGCGATGCGGGCAGCAAACTCGGCGGCCAGCACCTTTTCATGAGTTCGGCCACCACAAACAAACCAGACAGGCTCACAGAGCTGGGACGGTCACGCGCCAAGGCCAAAGTCCTGCTGGAGGCCCTGTCACGCTGCGACCTCCAGCGAGGGGCCTCCCCTCCCCTCCCCGCTCCCCGCGCGGCTGCGGGCCGGCTAAAACCCAGGCAGCCCCGAAGCAGACGTTCTGCCGGCGAGCAGCATTTCGGCCGGGCGTTTGCGTAGCCGCGCCAGCGCGCTGCCCTCAGCCTTCGTTTCTCTCTTTGAGAGCACTTCCGGCACTCTTATTACAGTTCCCGGCGACATATGCCATCCTTTAAAAAATACAGAAACAATTCTTTTCTTTTTTCCCAAGCGTTTTCTCTGCCCCAGAAACCCCGCTTTCCTTCTCACGCTCAGCAGAGCACCTTTCTGAGGCAGGTCATTCTTTCTCTTTTAAACACCACTTGAAAAAGTTCATAACAAAATATTCTGTATTTTTTTCCAAAACAAGTGATAACTATTCACGGTTTTTTATGACAGAAATGACTACTGCTAAATATAGCCCTGAATACCTCGTAAATACCACCAGTCATTAACCTTTCACCTATAATCATCTTAAATGAAGGATTTACACAACCATTATGTAATTGATCATTAGAGGAACAGATGCATCTGAGATTTAAAAAAACAATTGCTTTCTTCATAATTATGCACGATTTAAACTCCTACACGTTAAAAAACCTTTTATTTTATCTCTGTTCTGATATTTAAACACAGTGAATGGTTAAAGATCATAATTACAGACAAAATCAAGTTATTGAGGTTTAATCGGACAGTTGAAAAGTTCTGCTTTATTTAGTAGATTTTAGAGGGGAAAAAAACCCTGAAACTGCAACTACAAAAATATTAACTATCTTAAGAAAAGTTTTCTTTAGATAAATATCACCTGTTTGAACGTAACACTCTCTCGTTACTTCTTTGTGTCTGCCTTGATAAATGTGGACAAAAGAAAATATTAGATATTTAAAGTATACGCAGCATAGAGTTCTAGGAGAACAAATCAAACACGTTTTAGCATTAACTACTGCTTGACAACCGGCTTTGTAACAACGGAAACATTTCGATAGGTATGGTAAACCCAATTAATAATGAATCTAGTACATCAAGGGGTGTAGGAGAGTGTTGGAAGACGAGGGGGAAAAGGGGAAAACATAACATTTTATTATCTCCAGTTGTGGACTTTTATTTTGGAAAGTCTCTTCAGCAAAGACCACTCTTACGGTCTTTCGCGCTTATGCTTTAAAAAGGGGGAAGAGAACTAGATGTTTGGCTCTTTTTCTGCTTTATTCTTATCTGAACCAAGTCACCAGGAATCCGCCCAACACTGACAATAAGGAACAGGTACTCACTTCTCCTCAACCACTTGCTTTTGATACTCCTCGTACTCCTCTCTGGTCATTCCTGCGGCTGCTGCTGGGTCAGAAGGTGTGCTTTCTTCTTTGCTCTCTTCCCCTCCACCTCCAAGTCCCAAATTCTTTACCTGGTTGCTCAACATACTTTTCATGAGGAAGGCCATCTTCTTCACAAGAGAGGAAAAAAAAAAAAAAGAGACTCCTACAAGCAAACAGCTACAACAGCGCCCAACCAAACCAAAAATGTTTTCAAAACCAACAATTGTACGCACGAGAGTTACTTTAGCCACAGCAGCTCTTCAAGGGCATAATGCTAGTGAAACGTGAATGCCAAAACCAGTTTGTCAGCCATAATCTGGATTAAAGCAGTGAACTCCTTAATATCTAGAGGCAGATGGTTCAGATTACTCCCAAAAAAATCATTAGATGCAGCTACCTACTTTTTATATTAATACCTTAAGCTAATTGTACACAAAAATTCAATTACAGTGTGCAAGAGCATTTTGACATCTTTAATGTGGAAATTCCCAATTTCAGAGTCCAAAACATTTCCTGGAACATAATGCATGTGAATTAAAGACCTGGTTGATTAAATGGCCACAGCAAAATTGTAAAATTTGGGCTACTGAGCAGAAAATCCCTTTCAATATACACAGTCCAAGATTTGAGAACTGAGATTCTTCATTAAGCCAAAAAAATCCCTTTTATCCATTAATATTTTACTACATTGGACAGACAGTCCAATGTTATCTGGTTTTTTATGGTTAGTTTCTCTTACAGATGACTGGGGCATTTTTTTTTCTTTTAAAGGGGAGAAAATTTCATCTTCCCACTCCTCATTTTTGTGTTTTATTTTACTTTTCCTCAGTCTCTCTCCAGCTAGATCACCACTTTGACTGGTGCTGCATGGAGTAACTGGTATTTTTAATCTTAACTGTCAGTAAAGGAGAATGCATCTGACTGAGCTATAATCCAGCCTTGCGGTCTTTTGCCTGTGGCTTGTTTGCATAGGTCCTCGTCTTTCACACTTCTGTTCACTTTGTTAATCTCATCAATCCAATGTGATTCTGTGATTCTGTAATCCAGGTCTGTTCAGGTGAAGATTTGCAGGATCTGCTACGTAGATCATGGACTGTTTGGGGAAAGGAAATCATCTGCTAGGTCTCAAAAGTTCGTGATTTTGGGTATTGAGTATTTATCCTATTAAGGCTGACTGTGCATGGTTTAATGAAATATTCTGTGATCCTGATTATCTAAATGGTTCTCCCAGCACACTCATAATTTCATTGAGAGATGGGAGGATTCCTGTTTGGCTAATGCCTTAATCAGTATTAGAACCTTTCTAATTAAAGCAGACCTGTTACTTAAAAAAAAGTGCAGGATGTTCTGTAATCCTGGGTTACAAGATTAAACAAGAAACTTCACATTTCCTTTTGAAGTAGAACAAACATCACTCAAAAGCAAGAACTTCAAATCAAAACAAAATTACTTCGATAGACTACAAATTCCTAAAAAGCATTTTTTTTAAATCAAAATTGATTTCATAATCACTGTGCATTATCCGAACCATGCATAAGCAGCCAGAACTTGGGGGAAGAATCAGCTTTTTACATCTGACCAACTTTGACCTCGATTACCAAAAATCTAGTCGTCCAACAGGCTAACAGAACCGGGATCATACAGGTCAGATGGCTAACCCCAATTTGAGCAGAAAATGCTAAACGTGAGTAAGGCATTACTGCATGCACAAAACAAATAAAACTTGTGATCTCCTGGCAGTTTGAAAACTTTAAAAAAAAAAAAAAAAGCATTTGGTTTATAGGCAGGCACTGATAAGGTACCACAGCTCCTGACTCAGGAGGAGATTGGCATCCCAGCGGACCTGGCACTAGTCAGTCTGATTTTGTGTTCTGCCCAAAGACTTCCCTGGTTCAGCTTGCTGCCTCTCCAAGGCACTGAAGGGCAGAGCGGCTGACAGTGCCCCTTATTTCCCACCCCTCTGAGTTTTAGAGGGGACTGTTTGTTCAGAAGGTGACAATAGCTAGTGCTGCGGGGCTACGGCAGGTCTCCCGGCGCGGTGCAGGCAGACTGTGACACGGCCTGTGCTATCACAGCGCCCTTCCGTAGCTGTTTCACCTGCTTAATGCTGTCCGACCCTGGGAAAATGGCGTAAGTGTACCATTCAGCACCCTACCGGACTGGAGACAACGTGGACAAGCTGGGACAACTCTCACCTACAACCCCTTTGCCTTCTGCTAAAACTGAGACCTTGCTCACTTTGCTAGTACTCGAAAACTCCTGCAAACTGGCTTAACCCAGCATCTCTTTCGGAAGGAGGCCAGTCTTTCGAAGAGCGCTCTGACTACTGAGCACTAGTGACAACCTCACGATCAAGAACAAGACCACACAGCCCCCTCTCCCTTATGCAGCTGCATTTTAAATGGAAAATGGGTTAATTCTAGCAGATCATTAGAGCTGAACATTCCACCAAGAGCAGGCCCATTAAAAAATAGTCTATTGCCCGAACTTTTTTTTTATTTTTTTTTTTTTCACTCTTAACAGAACTGGGCAACACGAAAGGAAAAAAACCCCAAATAGCCAAAGAACACAGGCACCTCTACGCTAGGAACGCAGTTCAGAGCCCCAAAACAGACAAATCACAGGGAGCAACCTAAAACGACTCACAAAGAAACCAGTATAAAAACGTTATAGGCAGGAAAACATCCAAACACCCCATCTTCTCTACAGGCTATGTTCCCAAAACAGGGTCACAGCAGAGGCAACTCCAACCACATACCTCAGAAGTATCTTCAAGTATTCTTCGAAAGGACCAAGACTTTCCCCTTTTCCTTCTTCCAGGAGAGGATGTTACCTTTTATGCAACGATCACTTGACCACTCGTTCAGACAGAAAAAGGCATTTTAGGGCTTTCTCAGCCTGAAGGGATGCAATTAAGGAGGTCCTCCACCTCTCAGGGGATTTGCCCCTGGCTGGGGCAAATGATGGCCAATGAGGGGATTCTTTGCTCTTCCTGTAAACACGTACACCCAGTTTACTGGATAAAGTAATAGCAAACAAGGAGATACAGGCTGCATTATTTTGGGTAAACGCAACCTATTCCAACAAACAGGACCTGAGCACCCAGAGGAGGGCTGTCTGGGGAATCTGGAGAAAGAACTACAGACATGTAGGCAATCTTCAGCTCAAAAAAAAGAGGTACCTCGTGTAGCCAAAGCAGTCAAGAAGCAATTCAATTTGCAATTAAGAGATTTAGAAGTTCACATGTTACTTTAAACATGGCCTTAAATGTCCAATACTCAAGGCGAGTCTGATACTCCTGTAGCACAAGCTTTGAGTGAATCCGTTACACTTCGGCTAGAGTTACTCTTTTAAACTTCATTTCTCCTGGATAAATAGAACACAATCCTTCACACAGAAAGGCCTGACACTGGATTCAGCCCAGCTTTTTAGCCAAGGGTAGTCATCTGTCTGCGGAGTCTCGGTCTCTGAATGCCCTTAACTCTCCAGTATCAGGCAGGACTGAACCCAGAGAGTTTGAAAGCTTTTGAGATCTGAACAACAAAGGGTAAAGAACGCTTGAAATACACTGCTGCGGCAACATAAGAGCGCACGGACTTCATTGACACGTATCAAATTAAAAGAAAAGAAGCTTACCGAAAATATGTATCTTTATTCAAATAAGGTTATCTTTGAACTCCAACTGTCAAGTTACATTTGTCAGAAATAAACATTAAATGTCAGCTGTTTGAATTTTTAACACAGTAGAAGTCTTGGTTGTTACAGTAATTGATACAAGTCAAATTTGCCTCAAACAGGAAGCTAGGAATTTACAAACATGATTGTGGATTTTGTTTAAAAGATTCAGGTGTGACAATTTACTTTAATATACTCTGACCAGTACAATGGGATTCTCTTGTCACTGCCAAATAATATTTGCTACTTATCATCCACAGTTCAATACTACTAGGCTTGTTCCCCTCCATATCGTCAAAGTGGATTCTAAGCTGTCTTCTTCTAGTCCTAAAATTTTACTTGACAAAATGAAACGTTTACAGTGTTGAAAGAAACTTCTAGTAGCCATAATCAGAGGCTACTTTTACTGATAAATAGTCTACAGTCAGAATTTGTTGCAACCACTTCAAGAACAGAGAGGACAAAGTTTGGGCTAGACGATTAGGAGCTTTCATTTGCTCCAGGGAATGGCAAGGCAACTATGGAAGTTCCAAGAAGAGATGAATGTGACCTAAACTAGGCATGAAGCAAAGTACCACTTTCTGGATGTTACGCTTTAGACCTTCTGCTCCCCAATGCAAAAGATTCCCAGTTACACATGGGAGACAGGTGGATCTATTAGCAGCATAAACACAGCAGCTGAGCGCCATACTGAAAACGAAACTGTAGGTGCAAGTTTGTCCCTAGACACCACCTCCAGCCTTCTCTTCTTCCTAACACAAGACACAACAGCACAGGCTGCTTCAGCTTTTTGGAACTAAGGTATAGTCAGAGAAATTCACAGCAGAGAGAAACACATGCTTCCTCCAACTTAATACTTAAGAGCTGCTCCTCATCATGCCAGATATGCGGACCTACTTTTCAGCCTTTCCATATGGAAGGTCCTACAAAGCCTGCTGTGAGCGAGGGAGCTCTCTTTAGGTGTTGCACTGATGTAGGAAAGCTAGGGACTGAAAGGAACAACATTGTACGTTTTCAGAGTAGTTTAAGACGACGTATTACATTTAGTGAATAGAGTCAGGGTTGCAATAGCTTAGATTCAAGGCACCTGTAAATATTTGCTGGTGTGAGAACTGAAAGAATAAATTCCCATATGTTACTGTGGTTCTCCGAAGGGTTATTGACCTACCCTATTTATTCAGCAAGATTAGCTTGAGGCAGTAATTTCTCCAATTAGTACAGCAAACAAAATCATCTCAAATTCAGGAATGAATTTATTAAGCTATACCACTTACAGCATACTACATACTGTAGCTATATAGATAGGTGTGTAGGTAGTATCATTTTACTGGTATAGCACAGGCACCCACTTTCTGGACGTTCTGTAATTTAAGTAACAAAATGTATTGCATAGATTTATCATTCCTTCACATTGTCAGGCACAATACTAAAATGTTCTCCATTATAGTGACTTTGGCAGCATGTGTTGCACTCCAAAGGAGTAGAAGTTGTATGTTAGGTTCTAGATAGTTGTTGCAGGTCTTCAGATAAAGAGATTCAGAATTAAAAGTGAAATATTCTGATGCATTTGTGCATTTTATAGAATTTAAAAATTCTATCCCAATTCTACACACAAGCAACTCAAGGACAAAGTTACCACAGATATGTAAACAAGGCAAAAAGAATCCCTTTCACGTTCCCAATTTGGGCTATCTCCTTTGTTTCTTTCCTGAAGCAAATTGCACATGATAAGCAAAATCAAAAGCAAGTGTTCAGTCTTATGCCTTTGATATTAAACCAGGAGTTGATGCACAGTACTGGTTCTGCAACAGCTACTGGATTAACAAGCACGTCTGCAGAAACAGCTTGTGAAGAAATGGATAACACTCAATGTTTGTAGTTCAGAATACTTGCTGCTTCAAGATTTTAAATCAAAGTATCCATATTTGATTCAAAAAAGACACAAGACAGCTTTATAAAAGTAAAGCAAATTCCCAGATTAAATATGCCCTTAACAAAATCAGATCTGAAGAGGTGTAACCAGTGTTATCTTTGCTGAAAAGGTTCTACAAATCTCTAAACAAAATTACACACAGACTTGAAACTCCAAAACAGAAATCAATCCCATGATATACTCAAGGAGACTACTCTATCAGTGTTTCTCTCACTACCTAAAAACAAAACCCAAAATAGGGAGATAAGCCTTTGTTTGCTTATTCTGCATTGTTTGCTTTCTATACCAGATACCAACATTTGGACTGTTAAAGGCCTGTCTTTGTGTCCACATATTAAAAAAATATTTGTAAATCTACATTTCATGAAGAGTGAGAATTTACTAAATCATTCTAAAAAACATTAAATCCAAATGGCAAAGAAATGAAATGTTCGTAACAACTTTTTTCCCCCGAAACAGAGAAGTGAGGAAGAGGAAAAAACTGACATGTCAGGATACTTAGTGGTAGGCTTTCTGCACAAATCATCAGTTTGCAACTTTTATTATCAACAACCATCAAATCTTTGTGTCTTAATTCCCTCTTCTTGAATGTTAACAAATCCACACTATTTATCAGAAATTTAGCTGGAAACATAGACCTAGATAGGGTTCTTGGCCTTCCCCTACCTAGTATTTGCTCCACTGCTCCCCGGTCTGTTTTTAACTTTAGCATTAACAGTTTAAACAGTAACTCATTTTGTTTAACAAAATGCAATAATTTACAATATTGAAGTATATCAAACACTAAAATTTCCCTCATTTACAGAATTGTATAATTTTCTGTGCATACTGATATGTACACACAAAAGGAACAAGTCGTCAAAAGAACTTCTTGGCTGCTGCTTCTTGTTGACTCCTGAAAGAAAAAGCAGAAGAGAACTCATAAAGTACTTACAATAGAAAACTAGCTAACTGGTTTCAGAAATATTTCTTTCACTTTGGGATAAAAGATTTTGCTCCTCTTCCACAGAGATTTCAGGAAACCAAACATAAATCACATCACAAAAATAGTGTATTGTATTCTCCATTCACAAAAGCATTGGAAGCATGACTACAGTTCCAACTTTGCATCAGACACACGGAAAGAAAACATTCTGGATAGATGCCAGAAACTGAAAGAGCATAAAGTTGTTTTTCTTTAAATGCTTTAGCGGAAGCGTTCTGAAGCTTGGCAGCATCTGATCTGCCTAAAGACCATGACAGAAAAGGAAACATATGCAACTAAGCACTGAAAGAAACTGCTTGGACATGGGATTACCTTTTCCCTTTGACAAAGGATTAATTTATTTTCTTAATTGATACAAATACTGTGGCTCAACCACACACACATGGTAGAATCACAAGGGCACCGGAAAGAACTGAAGGGGATCGTATCCTCGTTTATCTTGGAAGCCATCTTTCCAGATGACAAATACATTGAAAATGCACTATCTCACCTTGTGGAGAAGCAGCCACGATAACAGTCAGCGCTATCAGCAACTGTCCTCTTAAGTTAATACTACTTATCCGTCCACAGAGGCAACAGTGTTTTCTTTGTAGAGCACTGTAAGCCTTACTGCTTTCTGCAGCTGCTTTGGTCCCTACTCCTCCTCCTGTTGGAGGACAGGGGGAAAGGAAGACCACCAAACAAGCAGATGCTTATCCTCGAGAGTTCCCCACCACCACAGTTTTAATTTGAATATAATGACGTTACAATGAGGAGAAAGAGAACATAGCCAACATTCAGCCCAATCAGGCTTTGTTTAAAACCCCCTCCAAGACACGAGCAATAAACCTTCACCCCTCTCCTACACAACACAGTTTTTAGGCAAGCCTGACATTTAAGAAACTTCATGTATTTTCCTCAAATTATTCCATTAACATACCTCTGCAGTATTTGAACCTAGAATGCAGCTGAGAACCATAGGATATGTATCATATGCAAAGTTCACTGAGAAATCTGTATTTGTCTTGTCAGGTGGGATAAGTAGTTTTTAAACTACATATAGCAAAAAGAACTCAAATCCCAAATTACATCAGATTTTGTTAACCTATTAATAAACTTCAGCAAATCCGGCAGAGAACCACAAGGATGGTAAGGGGCTAAAGCACATGCCTTAAGAGGAGAGGATGAGGGATCTGGAGTTGTTCAGCCTGGACAACAGAAGGCTTTTGCCCGCCACCCCCAAACTAACAGCAGCTTTCCAATACCCACAAGAAGGTTACTGAGGAGACAGAGATAGGCTTTTTACAGAGATGCACGTTATGAGAATGAGAGACAACAGTCCAAGTGAAACAGGGCAGATTCCCACTGGATATACAGGAGGGAAAAAAAAAAGAACACTTCATTACAGTAATTAAACATTAGAAGAGGGGTCTGGAGAGGTGGTGGATTCTCCATCCTTAGAGGTCTTCAAGACCTGACTAACGTAAGCCTTAAGCAACTTAGTCCGAATTTGGTGTTGACTCTGCTTTGAGCAGAAGGCTGGAATATAGACTACCCAAGGTTCCTTCCAAGTTGAAGGACTGTTTGTTTTAAAGAACATTACCATAATCATACTATTTCAACTGCCTATCAAGTCAGAACTTCCAAAATCATTTCTCCCATTGCTGTCAAAGAAAAACATACTTACCTATACATGATATAACCAATGAATAACACTGTTTGCACTGCTACAAATATGAAGAAGTGCACTGTAGATAAACATGATGGAAAAGGTGGCAAGTCTGGACACTTGGATTTCTCATTAGATGGCTAAAAAACAAGAAAAACAGTATTTGAGAAAAGAGCAAACAAGACAGATGTCATCAAAACAGTTCTATTTATGAAACAAAACAAGATCTTTGTAATATGATCTAGAAATAAAACACAAGCAGAAAACGCAGAGGAAAAAATGACAGCTACTTTGTGAGAAAGTCACGGTATAACACCCTGCCTCACTTCCCCCTTTCACCTTTATGTTTCTCAGATAAGCTGAATGACGTTAATCCAGGGGCTATAAGGGAAAGAATAAATCATTGGTAAATTATCCCAGAAATTAAAAAGCTTGCATGTGATCATAAACTATTTCAGTTTAACTACTACTTACACTAGGCTGAAGTGCTACCGAACGTGTGAACATCCATCTTCCATACTCAAGAGACTCTCAGCAGAGGCTAGGTTCCCCCTGATTAAACCCCTCTGGGCTCCTCCCTTCTGTGCAGATGCAGAGAGAGTCTCCTCTGCAAAGATTTTTCAGTGTCTAATATAGGTTAATTCATGCTGCAGCTTTTCATTCATTAAGCAGGTTTGTGTTCCCCAGCTACTCATTTTACAAAATGCATACGAATTTAATTATAATAGACAACCCTACATTTCTGCAACTTTTGACAACAACTGGCCACCAAGTTCAAGAACTGCTAGGTAGCAGGGCAAGTGCAAAAGAGCACCTAGAAAGCCTAATTGCTTGACCTTGTTTCCACAGGATATTAGAGTAAAAATCACGCTTTGTGCAAAACTTCTCATCAAGACAGATCATGATGGTAGGTCAAGGCAGAACAGTTTTAGTGAAGCAGCTTAATGAAGGATTAATAGCTCAGTAAATTGCATGCTGGCTCATCTCAGCCTTTTACTAACAGCCAGATAAAGAAGCACTATAGTCACACGTCACACTAACAGCACATAAATTACCATATTTCGTTGGACTAAATGCTCAATGTCCCTCTTTACTACATGAAGGTGTTCTTTGATGTCATTAAAGTGCTGAGTTGTTTCATAGACCCCCGCAGCAGATCCCGGATGTTGAGCTCCACTGACCAGCCTTAGCGTGTCAGCCATGGAACTTCTGAAACAAGACAACACAACATCTTTCATCAAACACTTTTCCATAAACAGCATTTATACTGGACACCTTTTCGTCCATTAAAATTAGTCTGAAATACGTAGTTTCCCCAAAAGGTAGGACATATTTCTTATCTTCCAAGAACACCTATGAAGAAGCAGTTCCTTAACCAAACTAATGTACTTTTTTTAAATTTAATTCCACACAGAGTTTGAATTTGTACAGTGCACCATGTCCCAAAATCATACTGAAAGCAAGATCTGGCAAATATTCTGTTACTAGACAACTGCTTTGCCTGAAGTCTAAAACAAGTGGTCTGAATCTGAGGCTATGGCCAAGGCTTTAGGATAAACACAGTATAATGCAATCTTTCAAGAAAACTAAAAGCTGTTCCAAAAAAAAAAAAATCATGTAAGAAATAAAGAAGAGGCTTTAGGGATAAGAAAAGATTTAAATACATCCTTGTGTCATGATTACCATTTATATGAGAAACTCATTTCCCATTTGCATTGTCATAATACTTAATACTGTCTTCACATGTATTCATTTTGCTGCTACAACAAATCAAATTAAATTCATAAAAAGTTGAGGCTCCATAACTAATTTTGCTTGAGCTAAACTAATCAATGGGGGAAAACATTTAATCTCTAATCAATATGTTTATATAATTTTTTGCTCCTATGATGACTCTTTTCAGTTGCAAAGAGGATTACACTACAGCTAAAGTATTTATCATGTGAATGTTAATCTCTTTGTTATTAACAGAATAAACAATCAGAATGAATGTCTTTGGATTTCTTTTTAATTTACTTAAAACTTTACATTTTATTCAGATAAGAGCTTACTTTGATACCTTCAAGGTAAAGGCCTTGCTGATCAGCAATTAAACTTTCACTTGAACAAAGGTAACCTGGCTTGAACACAATGTGTTGGGTAACTGGAACAGCAACACATAACCGTACTTGTCAGTGTTATATAAATTATATTATTGAATTTTTAACTGGCTCATATTCATTGTGAAAACTGCAAGTTAAGTATCAAAACTTTACAAATAACCTTCATAAAGGTGCTGTCCACCTTTAAGCTCTACATCAGTTGCTCTTCATGCCGTTAAATTTCAACTCAATTCCGTTTAGGGAAAAAAACAGGAAGAAAGAAAAAATAAACTCTTAAGGTCCCATATATATTAAAAAGCATTATGTCAGCTCTAAAAGTAAATACTGCAAGGCATGGGTATGCCGTTAGATTAGTTTCACAGCAGCTCTCTCCACTGTGGTAACTTTACATACAGCATGTTTAAATTACTTAAAGCAGCTTCATACTAAATTACACTGAATTAACCAACACTTCACAATTCTCTCAGGCTGCAGATACACCACTGCAGCAAACTTAGCAATTACAGTCCCCGCTAAATGTTGGATTAACAATAAACTTCTCTTCCAACTGAAGAACCAATTTTTCTCATGAAAATCGCACACAGACACACACACACAAAAAAAAAAAATCAATGTAACATACTGCACTTCCACTCTTCTGCGTTTTCCCCACGTAACAAAGCAAGCTCGCCTCACTTGCGGAACAAAGGGATCCGGGAACCCCCCTTTTCCTTTCGTGTTTATGAAAGCTCAACCCCATTCCCAGCACATACCGGAAGATCAACCACCTTCCACAGTTACGTTTCCTGTAGTTCCAGATAACGTACCGCACTGGAAGCCAGACAGGTAGCCTCGCGCTCCTGCAAAACTCTCAGGATTTAGCTCAATAAGTTCATTTCTAAGGCTGCATAGTTACCAAAAATACACTTGTCTGCTTCTGCTTGCCACCGCAAACCACACTCGTCAAAGCAGCTCTCCTACCTTCTCTCAGGCTAGGTTTCTGGTTTTGGAGCAGTAGCATTTACACGTGCAAAATGAATGCGAAAAACAAAACAAGATGAAACACAAAAAACCACAAACACACCTGTGCTGAATTAAACTAGCATATACTTCATCCAGGAATTTTCTTTTTTTAGTTATTGTCATTGTATAGATTATTCAAAGTAAATTGCTTAATATTTACCTGTACTTTGAATTAGGGTTGTAATAACCTGTTTGAAAACAAAGTTTTCACTCTAAGAGTTTTTTGTTTTTTTTTTTTTTTAAATAACCCATGTAAAATAAACACTTTGCTATCATGACCACTGCCTAAAAAACGCTGATAGCAATGATGTCCATCCACATCCACCACGTTGTTTACTTTCCCCCACAATTTTCAGTGCTAGAGCACAATTATATGACTGATTTTGTACTTCTCCCTCCTTCTAATACCTTACATGTAAGGAACTGAAATCTGCACCCCCGCCTTCCCCCAGACTGATCCACTTTTGTTGTTAAAAGCAAAATACCTTCCCTAAATAGACACGGCCTGTATCAAATTTAATTTACGTTACTTTTACATAAACAATATCATGCAGTTACTTTCTATGTATAAACACGCAAGATTCTTCTATAATCAGACGATTAAGAAATCCACAAATCTTGACAAGAAAATTACTTAGACAGTAAGTCCTTCTCCTCCGGGATGACCAACAAGACAACAGCGGGCTGTTCATTTCTATCTATAAATGAAACATTTCTTTAATCTAAGAAAAATATTAAGATGATGTTACGCAAACTCATACCTAATAAATAGTCACTAGAAGGGCAGACTGCCAATGTTAACAAGAAAATCTAATTTGCTTGCTAGGTATAAAGATTTGTCAAGAATATTAACATAAGAGCTTTCCTGGAAGAACAAGTGCAAAAAAATGGAAGCACTCTAATCTTCATTCTACAAAAACCTGACCTACTTAAACGAATCACAAGAGGCTGCCTTTGAACTAATACTGGGGGAAACAAAACAAAAACAAAACAACTGCTTATACACTACAACATGAAGTTATAGGAATTTTTTCCCTCCTTTTCCTTAAACCAAAGATAATGACTGTCTGAACTACTGTAAATAAAGGGTTAAAGCAACTTAAAGAAGTTTCAGCTAAAAAGAACAATTGTAAAACATTCCCAATGCAGTGTATAAACTTCCCTTTCAAATACAGGACTTTTCTGAGGTCCATATGTTTTACCAGTATATCACCTTCAAGGTTAAGATCTGTATGTACATCAAGCGGTAACTTAGTTTGAAAAGGTACAGCATATCTTTCAGACAATCATTTGAAATAACTGCATCTTAAAAATCAAAACTATTAAGTGCTTAGACACTTACAAGTATCCCTACAGATACAGAAGTTTCCCGAGAGCGTTAACTGGCAAAAAAAGTCCTCTGATAAAAGAACATGACAGTCTTAATCTAGAACAATTAGATTCCAACAAGTTACATAAGTGTCACACAACTGAGTTCATCTAGGCAAGGAACTAGGTCTGCACCAGTCAGTCTCCTTTAACGTGATTACCTCCTACAGCAAAAAATACTGATGTATCGTTTGATAGACGCAAGTCATCACTAATTAATTTAGACCATAAAACATTCACCCTTAGAACAACAAAAACTATTTCTAAATAGTGAAATGAGAGCACGCAGCACACATGTAAAGGGCAGGTACTTCCATCACAGTACAGTTTTAAAACATTTTTACTGTTTCTAATCTACCCCACAAGAAATCAGGACAAGATTAACAAAAGGGTCTACACAATACAATAGCATGTGAAAAACAAAACAAAACAATACAGCCTGCCTTCACTAGACAATGTAAATGAAAGTAATTTAATGTTAGCATGGTCTTCTCTACATAATTTTTTTTTATTGTGCAAGCACCACATGACAATTTCTCTTATTATCTAACAAACTAAGAAATTTTTAGTCATAGTCAAGTTTTCAGTACATCCAAGAATGGAGACTATACAACCTCTCTGGGCAACCTGCTCCACTGTTCAACCACTTCCACAATAAAAAAAAGTTTTCTTACGTCCAAGTGGAGTTTTCTATATTTCAATTTGTGCCCATTGCCTGTCATTCTGTCACTGGACACCACTGACAAGAGCCTGGCTCAATCTCCTTTATCCTCTCCCCTCCTCTTCATGTAGTTATACCCATTGCTAAGGTCCCCCCTGTGCCTTCTCCTCTCCAGGCTAAACAAGCCCAGCTCCCTCAGCCTATGACAGATGCTCCAGGCCCTTAAGCATCTTTGTGACTCTTTGCCGGACTCGCTCCAGTCTGTCCATGACTTTCTTGTACTGGGAGCTCAGAGACTGGACACAGCAATCCAGGTGTGGCCTCACCAGGGCTGAGTAGGAGGGAGCAACAAACAAACAAACAAACAAAGAAAATCATCTCCCTCAACCTGCTGGCCTCAACCTCTTCCTAACGCAGCCCGGATGTTGCTTTGGGGCAGAAAAGGCCAACAGCGTTGCTGACCCACGTCCAAGCTCTTGTCCACTAGGACTCCCAGGTGCTGTCCTGTAAAGCTGCTCTCCAGCTGGTCAACTCCCAGCCTGTACTGGTTGAAGGGGTTCTTCTTTCCTAGGTGCAGGACTTGGCACTTGCTGAACTTCATGAGGTTCCTCTGAGCCCATTTCTCCAGCCTGTCCAGGTCCCCCCACCGAACAGCAACACAACCAGCTGTGTATCGGCCTCTCCTCCCACTTTTGTATAGTCTGAGGGTGCACTCTGTCCCACTATCCAGGTCATTAATGAAAATGTTGAGCAGTATTGGCTCCTGGGGGACACCACTAGTGACTGGCCTCCAGCTGGACTTTCTGCTGTTGATCACAACCCTTTGGAGCGTGGCAGTTCAGCCAGGTTTTTCTAGCTACTTCAGTCTTCCCCCTCCACCCCCAAAACTCTCAGAAACAGAACCAGCTTTTCAAGTATTCCACGCAAGAATGCTGCCCAGTGAAAATGGCGGGTTTGTTTTTTGGTTTTTGGGGTTTTTTTTTGGTGAGGCCATTAAGTACTTTCCATATCTGGCCCTTGTTTCAAATGCCTTTAACAAACAATGTTCTCTTAAGGCCTATCCCTACTCCTGCTGGTGAACTGAAGGGTGAGGGTTCTGTTGTTATTTTAATTACACACAAAGTTTGATCGACAATAGAAGTAAAAAAAAAAAAAAAAAGATCGTTCCAACGCTTGCACAGATCCGGGAATGCTAAGAGACTTGGCTATTAACACAGAACAACTGCGAATACAAATTGCTAACACTGACAGACCACCGTGGAACATAATCAATATGTGTGCTTCAGGCAGCTGTAGCAAAGGCAGGGGGGGAAAAAAAAGCCAAAAAACCCCAGTATTTTATTTATGTGTCTAGATGGAAGAAAGAACTTACTCTTCTAAAAAAAGAATATTTAAAAATATATGTGGGTGTGGGGAGAGAGACAGAGATCTATAGAGAGACAGAGAGATCAACAAATCTCAGCAACTCTATTACCTGTGCAGACATTTTTATTTGTGCAAAACTACTTATCAGACTTACCCACAAGCCTTAACACGTTTTGTGTGGCCTTATTTAGAGTAAATATCTTTGTGCGAGTGTTTTTGTTTTCATTATATCAGAAGAATAGATAGGGTATATGGACAAGATACTCCAGCTGTTGTGTTTGTTTGTTTGAGTTCACCGGCTACAAGTTGACAGCATTTACGTTCCAACGCTCCAAAGTCACAAGAACAAGTTTCCATGAGGCACCATATTATCATATCAGCAGTTCTACAGAAACTGACTGTTCTTAGAGACTCTGTACTTGCTTGTTGAGGTTGAATGTGATGATAAATGAGGCAAATTAGGGGCATAGCCACCATAGGAAGATGAACTATATACATTATATATACACACACACACACACACTTTTTTTTTTTTAAATACAGAACTTGAATGTATGCAGACAGTCACCATTAAGGAACTGACACACAGACATTTCAAGTTTGTCAAAACTCTCCTACTGAAATAATAAATGGGACTAAAAAGGTAGAAAATGATACAAAATGCAAAATAAGGTCTTAACATTTAGAAAGTGTTTACCTCATTTCATTCACTTGTCTAAGGACCTCTTCTTGAGTTTTCACAACTGCATCAATCTCTTGCTGGGAAATCTGGGTGGAGGGTGGAAGCAGTAAAGATCAACATATCTTGGGAAAAGCAAATCGATAACGCTTTTGAAATTAGTTTGAGCTTTCAACCACGGTATATTTTTGGAATTCACCTGTCCTTGTTGATCTGGAACACCAGCTCCTCTTTTGGCAATCTCATCTGTCACTGCAGAGACATATCTCCTCTGCTCATCCAGAATCATATCCAATTGCCTATTAAGCTGTTTGATTTCAAGATGAATCCGATTCTGTCCTTCAAAGATTTGCCTCAGTTCACGATCACTCACAGTTTCAAAAAGATCATCAGCTGACAAGAAAAAAAAGAACAGGTAATTCTTACATGCATTGCTCTTATGTCGCATTTTATGATTTTTCTTGTACCTTAAAGTTTTCACATAGATACACTTTTTCCAGTGAGTTAATATGCTACTTCTGCAGTGGCTATTTATCCCCATTGCCAAGGCTAGGGATACCAAAATGGCATTAGAGAAACTGAACAGAGAAAACCACACACATTCAAACCCAGACTTCACCTTGTAGAGTTCCTATTCTACTATTCAGGTAATGTGCAACATAAAAATGGAGGTGAGATGCTGTTATTATCAGGAGACAGCTACCTTTGCATAAGCTAGTGTCCTATTAACATCAAGATTCTCTCTGAACAGAGGTGCAGGTATTAAGTGAGAGAAACTTTTAAAAAAGTAGCTTGAGATAAAAAGGTGACTTTGCACATTTTGAGTGAATTCTTTCCCAGCTGCAACAGGAGAAAGAAAAGCCCAAAAGACTTTGTGGCAAAAAGGTAGCCATTTATTAGCAAAGTAAGGTTGGCAATATCTCAGCAGGACAGTATTTTCAACACAGATGATGTTAGAATAGTGTAGAACCTCTAAAGTAAGATCAGAAGCTTAACGCAGCAAAGAACAGTCATAACTTACTACTTTAACTACATAAATCCATTCTGACAACCCGACGTTTCAGGTCTAGATGACGAAAGTATGTTCCTCATATGTGTGCATTTAAATACAGCTAATTCAATCCACAACAATAAGAAACAGACCAATAAGATTAGCTTTCAAATATATTTTCAAATAACCAAAAAAAACAACATGCTCCCTTAAATCATCACTTTACTAAGGGCTACATGACCACTCCCTCCTACTGTCCCTCATCATGGACCCTCATCATTCTCATTAAGTTTCTTTTCATTTGTTTTGTTCTCAATGCAGACATGACAAAGGAACGTTGTATTTCAGAAAGCACTTCACAAAAGACCAAAGATTTTTAAATAAGGTAAACGACATCAGTAAGAGCATAGCAAGATCAGCATTTCACAGTATCGGGCCCTAGTTTGGAGTACCCTGGAAAACATAGGTTTTCCTTGACAATTGAAGAACTGCTCAAATAACTTGCCTGGCTGTCCTTGCACATCAGGATGTTCCTTCTGAAATTCCTCTTTCTTTTTATCCAGTTCTTGCTGAAAGTGTTCAAACTCCTCTTGATACTTCTCTTTATCTTTTTGAGGAATTTCTGCATCTGGTGTAGGCTTTAAAATGTTATCAAAAGGAGAAAGAGAGATTTTTATCACTATCAGTCTTTAAAGCTCTCAAAGACTCCTATATAACTCATTCTCCAACAAGACTGTCTAGATTTCAGTTTTTAGGAGAAGTAACAGACTAGTGGAGCACCCTGATATTAAGCTGAACTGAGGAATCAGAAGTTTCCATGGAGACCCACAGCTTTTTCCTGATGCATCTGTACTTTGTGATCAGAAAGAAATGAAGTTTTACTGCTAAAAAGCATCTATTCTTGTATGCAGTTGCTCTAGAGGAATGGGAAGCTGAAAGTAAAACAGATTAATTGTCCAAAGTATACTGTATTAAAGTATACTCCCAGTTGTTAGATTAAAACAAAACACGCAAGGAAAACAGCAGGATTTGTTTGTTGATTCAGTGTTGCTTCAAGAATCCTAGTCTTGAAACCGTAACTCTTACTGAACCACTACAGTATTAGTCTCATTTTTCCACAAGAGACGATAGCACAGCTACATGCCAAAATTCAAAAGCAGTGAAGCTAAGTATGATTTCAGAAGAAATGCCATCATATGGTGCTACATATAAAAAAAAATACACAATACCATGTTTTACTAATTACACATAAAGATGCTTACTACTTCCTTGCCAGGTTCAGTCAGCTGGAAGGTCAGAAAAGACAGGACATCATGGTCATCTGTATTTTTTAAAAAAAAAAAGTGTATATGTATATTGAATAACTTGTTAATTGCTATTGCTACAAGTTAAAAACATTAATTATATTCATACTCTTCAAACTCTCAAGTCAAGCCTGTATTTGCAAAGGATCTTCAGCCAATAGCGTCTTCCCAAAGTCCTCCCAAAAGCTTGGGCAGTAGGGAATGAGACTGTACAATGTCTTTGTCAGGCCAAAGCATTTCTGCTCTGGCCAGGAAAAAGCCTAAGCATATCAGTACTTTGCAAATGGGTGAGGATTAGTTACTCTATCATCGACCACAATCAGTATAATGGATCAACACTAGCAGTAATAAAGCTCTTTTCAAGCCTTGCAAATCACAACACAGTTTGGCACAATTCTTAACGTTTTCCCTCCACCTCAAAATCTGATCTCCAGAGTTAGTTAAAAGCCTTGGGGTAGAATTGATTTACATCAGTTTAAGGCTCACATGCAAAACATAACACACGTAACTGCATCACAATGATGGCTCTGCAGTTTGGACAGTTGTTTGTCAGGTAGTAGAAAGAGGTCAGTAATTCGTTTCATCTATGCCAAACAGTTACTGCCAGGGTGGCCCAGGTTTTTGCTCTTAAGCCAGTGACATTCTTTCACATCAAATATCTTATCACTGACAACAAGGTTCACTGGAATTTTAAACATCAGTTGCTAAACTGATTTTTACTAAAAGCTTTAGCTGTACATATTTTCTCATTTGTTTTGTAGCTAATCTAATGCAGCACCCAAATATAGTCAGTGAGGAGCTATGTTACCTGCAAGCCCCCCTGTGGCTGCAGATATTCCAAAATATCCTTGTGATGGCAACACCATATCTTCCACTTTTGCACAAAATTCATAATCTTCCTTATCTGGAGTAAAGCCATTGTTAATTAACACCTGGAAAGAAAAATGCATATAATTTTTACTACATAAATCCATGTGTGTTAATTGCTTTGGCCATGTACAACAATGGCCAAAAATACAACTTATTAGGCAACCTAGCAGCTAATGCTAGAAATAAAGAATTATTTCATTTCAAAAATGCACTTTTAAAAATAAAATACATAAGCTTGCCTTAAAAAAAAAAAAGAAGGAAAAAAAGGCCTGTTTCAAAGTTCAGCATGAACAAAACTCAACATTTTCTATTCTTAAGAGCACGTACTGTGTAAAATTCAGAGATGTATACAAAGGTATTCTTTTCAGTTATAAGCAGCAGCAAAAAAAAATTCATGTGCGAAAAACTGATCAAGTTCTAGTATTATCAACTTTGGTTCAAGAAATCTCTGACTCGCAGATCACTGAAGGCCAGTCTGTCAGTGACACTTTTGTATAGGATACTGGCCAACATAGACTTTCGGTCTGATCTAGTAGAGTCACTCCTCTTAACGATCTGACTTTGACTCTAAGCTTAGACAGAGTCTCTCTTCCTCCACAGACGCATTCACAGAACGGCTAAGGTTAGTCGCACTGTTTGTGTCAGGAGTTCCTAGATAAACCATCAAGGACAAGGCACGTGCGCAAAGGGGAAAAAATCCAAGTTTTTTCATTCACGAGTAACAAACAGCCTAGACCATTACGACACAGTACGGTGTCCATCTTCTCTTAGATGCCCTCATGTTTACTTTTAGATACACTTTTACTACAAAATGGCAGCTGCTTTAACTGGCTAATATCTATGAATAGTATGGTTTTAGCTGATACCAGAAGCCAGAAAAGAAACATTTCATTTCACAGGGGTCTCAACCCAGCACCATGTATTTTTCTGTCCTCCTCTGGACAGCATTCATAACAATCTGAATAGTTTTTAAGTAGTCTTGGGCACTCCCCTACACCAGTGATTTTTCCATGTTTTCCAGTGTTCAGAGCCTTAGTAGTTCTTGGAGGTGGGAAGCCTCAAATAGCAAATTTAAATCTACTGCCATCGAGCTTCGCTTTTAGTCACATTTCAGGAACCTCTTACAATCAGCTGGCGAAGCCTCAGCAACTGTCAGACCAACACAAGAAATATTGTTCTAGTTCAGGGGCTGCCCGACCACTTGGAAGCTGAGGAACAGACGCTGGCTCTGGGACACCTCTGTAGGCCAGTCAACATCAACAGAAGGGTCTGAAGATATATGGGTACACTAGCAGGGCTGACCTGTAAGTAAGATCCGAAGATCAAAATCAAAAGATCAGTAATACCTGCCAAAACAGCTCAGGAAACTACAGATGCACTAGTACAGCTAAAAGAATTTGTCCAGTGTTTGAACACGCTGCACTGCGCTCCAGCTTCTACTGCTGAGCTCATCATTTTCAAAAGTACTGCGATTAGCATATGGGGTTATTTGGGGTTTTGAAAGAGTTACAACAATCTCACACTTAAAAAGCAGAGAGACATGAGTTACTATGTTATTTCAGAGTACTTACAGTCAATGTTTTTTGGTAGTATGTAATCTTTGCCCGGACAGGATAGGGCTTGTTACGGAAGTCTCTCTGACAGTATGCCAGTGCTTGCGTGGAACCATCACTATGAAAGAAGACAACTTGTATAAACCTATATTTTATGATTTACCCACCAAGACAAAAAGCATCAAGGCATCATCAGTAAGAAGCACCACGCTAACTTTTCAAAATGCAAAAGCTACCCCACAAGTGCACTGAGCTTTCCTAAAGCTCTGCGATCAAAAGTACTAGATGTTTACGCAGGACACAATACAGATAGAAAGCAGTAACAGGGAAGTTTGCACGCTTCTAGAATATATGCCTGCACCTGTGAATTGAGACTGAAACAACTAGCCTGGACTGCACCAAGTAAGCTGGAAACATCTCTTCTCAGACAGCTCAAAGAGATGTTAATGGCGCTGCTGACAATAAACCATTAGGAGCCAAAATTAAATGAATAAATTTCACTAACAACCAATCAGATGTCAGCTAGTCATTCTCAGTAGTTCCTAGCAGCGTGTGGCTAACAATAAGCAATGAAAAGGCAAAAAATCTCTGCCTCCATTTATCCAAGTTAACACATTCCCTAAGGACACGTACCATTTAAATATCCATCAGTTGCTCATTTCTGTGCTGCTACTGCCAAGATAGTGTTTTAATTAAAATAAAACCTCAAATTTAAAGGAATGCAGATGAACAACAACATTCTGTATAAAATAAACTTTTACACTTTTTCCTCAAAGAAGGAAATCTATGCTTTCAGAATGCAGTTTCTCATCAGTACTTACTAAATACCGATACTCCTATGCATGCAACATATTACTTAGTTTATTATTATTATTAGTGGAAAAAACACCTAGAGTTTCGCACAACATTTCACCATTCAAAACTTTATTTTCAATGTTAGTTTAGTGGTAGATATTTACTTACTTCTGATGGTCATACGAAAGTTTTCCATTGTTGCCTACAACAATCACACCAGGATTATTTTTCTATTAAAAAAAAAAAAAAAAGGTGAAATGATACACAAAATCACTGATTGCCTTTCTGTGATTACAGCATATAAAGACATTAGGCTACAGACACACTGCAGGTGTTTTATTCCCGTGTAGTCCCGATGCACAGAAAGTAAAAGGACTGAAATAGCTCTGTGTCAGGCTGCACGCTTTGCGAGAGATGGCTACGTTCTTTGTATAGTTAGGGGTGAAAAAACAAATGAAGTTTACGGATGTACTAATTACCATCATTTGACAAATACATAAATATTAAAACCATAGTTAGGAGAAATTCATATCCAGTGAAGACATAGGTCTTAAAATTAATGGAGGAGTTAGTATATTTGACTTTGGTTACACATCACAGGGGAAAAACAGATGAACAGACAGCATGTTGGCACCCTGCTGACCTCACCACAGCCATTAGAAAACCCTGAGGAACTACAACTCTGTCAAATACATCCCAGGTTAAGTTGCTAGAAGGCGAGAACAAGCTAAAAGGATAATGAGAGAACAGATTTACACCCGGTTGCCTCCAAGCATTTAGGAAATGAACCCCAGTTTTTACAGGAACACAGGTTTTCAGAGGTAATCTCCCCTCCTGCTTCAAAACTTAAACTCATCATCCCCCAGAGGAACATATTGTTCTACTGGAGAGAGAGCAAATTTAAGAATTAAGAAACAAGACTCATTTCAAGAGCTCAAGAAACAATATCATTCTCAATTCACAGTGTTTGGGGCACGGAGTGAACTTTTTTTCTTTAATACTCTGAGAAACACTGCAACCAAACTGTGTACCTTCGTCATACAGATTCTGACAACATGAGACAACAGCACTCCCGTATACAGAAATACACCAGTGTTACTACTTCTTAACCCATGGACTTTAAAGTTAGCCTAATTGCTTCAGTATCAGTATTACCTGCCCAGTGCCACTGAAATACTTTTAAAGTCATCTTCTTACTGTTTCTTTCAGTTTAACAATAGTAATATTGAATTAATTCAGAGTATATTTGCATATATTTTGCACCAGGTGTGTACAAACAGTTCAACTGCAAAGCATTAATTAACGCAACACAAGGCTAATCTCTCTTAGAGCACAGTAGACAGCTACTAACAAGAAGAATTCAATGCTGACTGTCAATGGGCAGCCCAGTTTTGGTTGTGGATCATGTCTGGAAGGAAGATTTGAACAGTGAAAACATATACAAGATGTTGAAAGCAACTACAGAATCCAAAGCAGAGAACGAGCTCTCAATTTTTTTTGCCTCCAAAAGATCACAGAAAGGAGACGTGCTCTAAATCCTTGACAGATTTAGCACAGTTCTTGCAACTTCAGCTGTTCAGAAGTACAACAAATATTAGACTTGTTTTAAAATAAACACTGTCATCAGAGAAATAAAGAACACAGAAATAATGAATTCAACTCTAGTACAACACATAGCTTTAGAAGGAGGGGGAAAAAAGCTTTGCAGTTTTTAAATCAACATCATAACTAGAGTGCTTTAAGTTGGCAGTATTAGCTGAAGTCCACTTCTGGATGCTGTGTATTAGGCTGAGGACCAGTTAGAGCCTGAAACATCTTCCACTGAATGTACCAAACACAGAATTTCTCCATACTAGGACTGAAGAAAGTAGCAAGAGGTCACTTCAATATTGGAGTTGGTAAGACTTTTGAATACATGTTGGAACTAATACAGGCATGAGGTAGACTTCTGTTTTGCCTAGAAGCGACACATCATCACTTTCAAAAAAGTGTTTCACACCACACTGACTAAACTTGTCAGGAGAGAAGGCCCAGTGCTATCAAAGCTCTGGCAAACAGCGCTGTCCACATGCAACTTTTAATAGACTCCATCTTCAGGCAGGGTCCATATTCATGCCAGAAGTTAAAAGAAGAGAGGGGACAACGGGGGAAAAAAAAAAAAAAAAAAAAAAAAAAAAAAAAAAAAAGGAAAAAT